TACTACTACTACTACTACTACTACTACTACTACTACTACTACTACTACTACTACTACTACTACTACTACTACTACGACTTATACTACTACTACTACTACTACTACTACTACTACTACTACTACTACTACTACTACTACTACTACTACTACTACTACTACTACTACTAATACTACTACTCTACTACTACTACTACTACTACTACTACTACTACTACTACTACTACTACTACTACTACTACTACTACTACTACTACTACTACTACTACTACTACTACTACTACTAACTACCACTACTAAGAAAAATAATGCTACTATTTCTTCTTACTTACTATAATACTATAATACTATACTACTATACTACTTCTTACTACCACCTACTACTACTACTACTACTACTACTACTACTACTACTACTACTACTACTACGACTACTACTACTACTACTACTACTACTACGACTACTACTACTACTACTACTACTACTACTACTACTACTACTACTACTACTCATGCAAATAAAAATTAGCCTGACGAAGGACCCAACCATGTGCAGTTTCGAGTACCGCATTGTGGGTACCGGTTTCGGTGGAGCGCGGCCACGAAACTTGTGTGGGGTGCGCCGAACTTGGTGGCGCGGACGCATGTGGACACCGCCACTGGTGCCTTCGGTGTAGCTCCCGATGGGGCCACGAAAGGCTGCCCTGGGCGAGGGAGACGCATGCGAACTGCGCCATTGGGACCTTCGCTGGAGCTCCTTCTGGGGCCACGAAGCGCTGTCATGGGTGGGGGAGGCGCATGCGAACTGCGCCTCTGGCGCCTTCGGTGGAGCCCCCTATGGGGCCACGAAACGCTGTCCTGGGTGGGAGAGAGGCATGCGAACACCCCGATTGGGGCCTTCGGTGGAGTTCCCTATGGGGCCACGAAGCGCTGTCCTAGGCAGGGGAGACGCATGCGAACACCCCCACTGGGGCCTTCGGTGGAGCTCCCTGTTGGGCCACGAAGCGCTGCCCTGGGTGGGGGAACCGCATGCGCCCACCCCCACTGGGGCCTTCGGTGGAGCTCCCTATGGGGCCACGAAGCGCTGACCTGGGTGGGGGAACCGATGCGCCCCCCCCCTGGGGCCTTCAGGTGGAGCTCCCTATGGAGGCACGAAGCGCTCCCCTGGGTGAGGGAAACGCCTTGCGCCACCCCCACTGGGGCCTTCGGTGAAGCTCCCTATGGGGCCACGAAACGCTGCCCTGGGTGGGGGAACCGCATGCGCCCACCCCCACTGGGGCCTTCGGTGGCGTTCCCTATGGAGCCACGAAACGCTGCCCTGGGTGGGGGAACCGCATGCGCCCACCCCCACTGGGGCCTTCGGTGGAGCTCCCTGTGGGGCCAAGAAACGCTGCCCTGGGTGGGGGAACCGCATGCGCCCATCCCCCACTGGGACCTTCGGTGGAGCTCCCTATGGGGCCACGAAGCGCTGCCCTTGGTGGGGGAACCGCATGCGCCCACCCCCACTTGGGCCTTCGGTGGAGCTCCCTATGGGGCCACGAAGCGCTGCCCTGGGTGGGGGAACCGCATGCGCCCCCCTCCACTGGGACCTTCGGTGGAGCTCCCTATGGGGCTACGAAACGTGTGAGAGGTGTGCCGAGAGCAGAGGCAAGAAGGGGGAGGAGGGAGGAGGGGGAGGAGGGCGGGAAGGAAGGAAGGAAGGAAGGAAGGAAGGAAGGAAGGAAGAACGCGGGGCACCGTCTCTTCAGAACGAGGAACCCAACACAACAGGATGGTTGGGAAATACTACGACTACGAGTACGACCACTCCTACTACGGATACGGCTACGACTACGACTACGATTAAGACACGACTACAAACTGCGCGAAATCCACCATAGACTGCGCGAAATCGAACGACTACGACTACGACTCGACTACAGACTACGACTACGACCTGACGACACAACAGCGCCTACGACTACGACGACCACCTCGACAACGCTTACGACTCGCCTACGACTACACTACCACTTCGACGTCCGCACTACTACTAGGTCTGTACGACTACGACTACGAATACTACTACACGACTGCGACGACGACGCCAACGCGACCGACTACTACGGACTACGAGTGCTACTAATATTACTAACTACTACTACTACTACTACTCCTACTACTACTACACTACTACTAAACTACCCTAACTACTCTACTACTAATTACTACGACTAACGATACACTCCTAGAACTACTACTACGACTACTACTACTACTACTACTACTGTCTGCCACTACTACTACTACTACTACTATACTACTACTACTACTACTACTACTACTACTACTACTACTACCACTACTACTACTACTACTAACTACCACTACTACTACTACTACTACTACTACTACTACTACTACTACTACTACTACTACTACTACTACTACTACTACTACTACTACGACTACTACTACGACTACGACTACGACTCCGACTACGACTACGACTACGACTACGACTACGACTACGACTACGACTACGACTACGACTACGACTACGACTACGACTACGACTACGACTACGACTACGACTACGACTACGACTACGACTACGACTACGACTACGACGACTACTACCACTACTACCACTACTACTACTACTACTACTACTACTACTACTACTACTACTACTACTACTACTACTACTACTACTACTACTACTACTACTACTACTACTACTACTTACTACTACGACTACGACTACTACTACTACGACTACTACTACTACGACTACTACGACTACTACTACTACTACTACTACTACTACTACTACTACTACTACTACTACTACTACGACTACTACTACTACTACTACTACTACTACTCCTACTCCTACTCCTACTACTACTACTACTACTACTACTACGACAACGACTACTACGACTACTACTACTACTACTACTACTACTAACTATACTTACTACTACTACTACTTCTGCTACTACTGCTACTACTATTACTAACTAACTACTGCTACTACTACGACAACGACTACTACCCGCAATACTACGTACGATTACGATGGCTACTACTCCTATACTACTACTACTACTACTACTACTACTAACTACGACTACTGCTTCTACTACTACTACTACTACTACTACTACTACTACTACTACTACGACTACTACTACTACTACTACTACTACTACTACTACTACTACTACTACTTATCCACATCCTCCGCCGCCTCCTCCACCTCCTCCTCCTCCTCAGCATCATCATCATCATCCCTCCTCATCCTCCCTCTCCCCCTCCTCCTTCACCTCCTCCTCATCCTCCTTCTCCTCATCCTCCTCCTTCTCTTTCTCCCCTCCTTTCTCCCTCCCTCTCCTCCTCCTCCTCCTCCTTCTCTTCTCCTCCTTCTCCTCCTCCTCGTCCTCCCCCCCCCCGATGACGACGACGACGACAACAAATAAGACGCTGACTAAGACGACGACCAAGACGACAACACCTCGTGGTGAGCTCTGCCAGGCGGCGAGGGCCGGGCATGGCGGGCGCTCGGTGTGGCCCCGACCCCGGCGCCGGCGGGCGCCAGGCATGGCCCCGCCGCCAAGCGCGGGCGGGTCGGGCAAGAGCAGCGGGAGCCGTCCGCACCACGGGCCTCCGAGGCACCTTCAGCTGCTGCCTCGCGGCCTCGCGCGCCCGACGCCAGCGCAGCCTGCAGCGGGCCTCGGGCGGCGGCAGCCCGCGGCCTCAGAGAAGCCCGCCCCTGGGGGCGTCCACCCCGGAACCCCGACATCGTGCTTTTTTTGCAAGGTCGATCCCCCAGAGGTCGACGTAGCTTTTTTCGCAACGTGACCCTAGGCAAGAGTGACCTGCAGTGCGCGGGCATCCACCGTCGCATCGCGCTCGGCGATCGGGGGCGGCTCTGGTGAGCCCGCACTGAAGGTCACTCTGGCGAAGGGTCACTCTTACGTATCATCGAAGAGGTCTGGACCCCTTCCCCAGATCGGTTCTTGTCATCCCGAGTCGTTTTGTTGACGGCTCTGGAGGCCGAAGATAGCAACAACAACAAAAAAACCTCCCGTCCTGATTGGCTTCGCCACGCGGGGGGGGGTCTGGGTCGAGCGCGCCCGGCGGCGGGCGGCGGGGCCTCGGGCCACGGGCCTCGGCTCAGGCGACGGGGTGGCCCGCGCGCGAGTGCGCGGTGGGCCGGGCGTCGGCCATCGACAGGAGCGCGGGGGGCGTCTCACCTCGGTCGGGGGTGGGGGGGCGGCGCGAGGGGCGGGGCCACCTGAGAGCCCAGGCACCCCCCCCCCGCGCGGCGGAAAAATCACGACGGGAGGCTTTTCACAATCTTCGGCCCCCAGGGGCCCTCACCGGGCCCTGGGCCGTCAGAAAAAACTCGGAATGAAAAACCAGTCCCTCGGAAGGGGTCCAGACTTCTGGGGATCGACGTTGTGAGAAGAGCACCACGCCAGGGTCTAGGGCTGGCTCACACGGGGGGGGGGGGGGGGGCGGCGCGAGGGGCGCGGCCATCCGAGAGCGGTGGAGGGGGCCAGGAGTGGGGGGGGGGGTTTAACAAGTCCCTTGGAACCAGCAGTTTCGTTGCGCTCGCTGCACCGATTCTGGTTATCAATGCTGACGATGTCTTCATAACTGATCATTAACCAAGTAATAATGATGATAGTGGTGTTTGTTTTGGTTCGCTTTGCGAGCGGTCAAGGACACTCCCTGGTCTCAGTTCCCGCGCCAGTCTCGTCGCCTAAACTTTCGAAGCGGCTTATGTCCCTCTGCGGCGGATTACAGAAGGATCCCTTCGGTGGCGGATTTCACATTGATTCCCTTTGTGGGCCTTTCCGCCTCCTCCCTCACTCCTCCTCAGAACTAATCATGGTCACCTTGCCTCCTCATCATCATCCTGATCATCGGTCCACCATGCCTATCACCACTACCCACAACCACCACAAGCACCCGCCATCAGCACCGCCATCGCCATCCCCATCGTCGTCGTTCGTCTTTTCCTCCGCCTCATGATCAGCATCCCCATCATCATCACCGTCATCACCATCATCACCATCATCTTGATCATCAGCATTATCATCGCCATGCCGCCCACTTGGTCCCACCACCTTCCCCAGCGCTCCTCATGCTTTCTTCGTGGTCACCATCGTTACCACCGCCACATACATCATAATAGTCATCATCACCGCCATCATCATCACCCTTGCCACCTCCCCCCCCCGTCTTCTTCAGAACCAACCCCTCCCATCTCAGTTCTTCTTTTTCGGAACTTGGCATGTTTACCCTGCTTCCTGTTCCTCCCCCTCGCGGCCATCCTCGCAGGCACCTTCGTCCCCACCATGATTATCACCATCACCGTCGCCATCCCCATCACCAGCAAGATCACATGTTTTACCATCCTCATCAACATCGTCGGCATCATCGTCATAATCACAATCACAAAGCTGCCTATCATCATCACCTTGGGCAATGAGAACGCACTGGTGCCACGCATTCTGGGCAACGGCTATGCTCCTGCTTCTCCTGTGCACTGTGCAGTGCACTCTACTGGTTCTACCATCGCACAGATGATTGGAATTACTACTGCTACTACGACCACCACCACCAATAGTATTACTATTACAACTACTACCACTACTGCTGCTACTGCTACTGCTATTGCTACTGCTACTGCTACTGCTACTTCTGCTTCTGCCACTGCTACTGCTACTACGATTACTACTACTACTACTACTACTACTACTACTACTACTACTACTACTACTACTACTACTACTCTCACTACTACTACTACTACTACTACTACTACTACTACTACTAC